CACCGTCCACACCGCGGGCGCTTAGCTAGTATATATATAAAAAAGCAGGCTAATGAGATATTCGAACAGGGCAGTCCCATGGTTAGCACAATTTAGCAGTACTGATTTTCTTGGTCGAGTTTTTTTGGATGAGTTTTGCTTGAAATGTTTTGTTTTTGTTTTTGGTTGTTTTTTTTGTTTGTTTAGTTGTTTTCCTGGCATGATTGCCGTTTGTTCTTCCCTTCGGCATTTGGATGTTCTAGTGGACAATTGTGACACCAGATGGGTTTGAACCGTCGCCAGTAACGGGTAATTTTCATTTTTCTTTTGTCTCGTGGTGTTTGCTTACAGGTAACCCTGAGTTGCAGCATAGTGCTCTGGGTTTCGAAGCGTAGGCTTACCCTGTGATGGTATTGTGTGTATCGATTTTCAGAGCAGTACGTAGGAGACTAGCTGCTAGCAGTCACGTTTGATTCATGAGAAAGGTCAGTAGGCTTGCAGTAGGGAAACCCCGACTGTTCTCCGGTTTGACCAGAAGCAAGGGGGGGGCGCGTTGTCGGACGGTGCGACTATCCTATAACTAGTGTGGTAGCAATACACTCGATCTTTTACGGTTTGTCCACTCCGTTTGCATAGGCGGGCGTAGAGTCTTGAGAAATGACTCGGTGGTTCTTGGGGTTGAGGAATGTTCGGACGGATTGCCGTAATTTTCGAGGTTTTGCTTTTCAACACACCAGTGCACGTCTTGATTAGTCTCACTGGCCTATAAGTGTTGACTTGTCCTGGACTTGCTCTACGTCTTGTCGTATGAGTCCTATCCATGATACTATGTACTGCAAGTGTGAACGATCCTGGAGTCACGCTACCGGGATAAGTGAGCACATTTAACACACAATACCGATCAGGAGTGAAGGAAGAGTGGGCGAGTTCAAGTGTCTTCGAGTAAGTGAGGATAAAGCAACGAGTCCGGGCGCACTGCGCATGGCCGGGCAAGGGGAACATCGACACTCTGACAGTAGAGGGCGTGATCAAGGAAGGAGTAACCGGAACTACTGGAGCATGAATCGTGAGTATGGAGGCAACCAGTGAGGTTATGGGAGTGACCGAGGGTATGGAAGCAATAGGAGCCAGGGAGGAGATCAAAGCTATGGGGTTGACAGGAGCTATGACCGAGCACCTAGACGTGGACTGGTCACTTGCCATAACTGCGGGGAGTCGGGGCACTATTCAAATCAGTGCCCCCACCCGCGCATGACTCATGGTGCGGATCCTTCGGCTCAGGTTGGTGGAGGAAGGAGTTCGACGTCAGTCGAACCTTTGGAATCGAAGGTAGCCGAGAGTGGGAAGAGCGTCGCGCCGGTTTGCCAGTACGTCGAGATCGAACAGGCAAAGAAAGCAGCAAAGGAACGAAGGAAGTTGGAGAAGAAAGAAGCGGCTGAACGAGCGGAAGCGGAGAGAGCGAAAGTAGAGTTGAAGAAAATAAAAAGAGAAGAGAAGGCACGGAAGGTGGCATTGCGGAAATGCTTGGACATCAAAATGGCAGTCCGCGTGGAGGAGCTTCGCGAGGACGTGAGGGAGGACGTAAGACAGGAGACTCGGGACGCGATCAACGAGCTTTGTGTCGTTGTGGCATGTGTTTCACCATCGCCTACACACACGAAATGCCTGGACTGGTTGGGGACTGGACCCCCGGAAGACGAAGAAGAAGACACGGCGAAGGCGGATGAAGGTGCGGATGGAGATTGATTCGGAGTGCACGTGGCGAGAGGTCGGCGGTGGGAGGATGGCGGGAAATAATGGCGGCGGGCTTGTAGGAAGACGTCTCAGCACAGACGCCTGTCTGTGCGTGGGGAGTGGTTGGATGGTGATGGGCCACTCCCTTAGGAATCACATATGTTCGGCTGGGGAGGCGTATGGTGGGGAGGGGGTGGCTGTGGGCTAGGGGGTAGCTTGCGCAGGTGGGTCATGGATCATCGTCTACCCTCAGCGGGAGGGTAGAGCGCAGGGGGGCAAGTAGCTTGTGGATCGTCATCGAGGTGGCGACGTCATAAGGCGGACAGTTTGTGGATCGTCATCTCGGTGGGCGGGGGTTGGGGTTGCGGGTGGCGGCTGGTCAGCGAGGTTGCAGATGGGGAAGATAGCGGGTGGTGCTGTTGACGACCATGTCAGGTCGACCTCTCCATGTATGCAGTTCATGGGTGGCGTTCGCTGGCGACGTGTCAAGCCGGGTGGAGTTCAGGTCTTCGCGTTTTTTTTTTTTTTATATAATTTATTTGTTTAAGCGACAGTCGGGTAATCGCTGGTACACCACCGGTTACCTTTCTATGAAACATCGTAGGTGTGTTATGACGCGGTTGTGTTGCGTTCCTGTTGTGTCTTTTTTGCATTCGAATGGTGGAGTGGGAGGTGCTGTATTGATTAACAACCTGTCATCTGAATGGTTGCATGCACGACGTCAAAAGAAAACGAAACATAGGCGCACCAATCACACACACACAGATTGCCCCCCTCACACCACGCCAAGTCGACGAAAAGAAGTAGACACTTCACTGCCCCGGAAGACATGTCCAATTTCTGCATTGAAAAATGACCTTTCATGCCATTGCTGTTGAAAACAGGATGTTCATCGTGCATGCCTTCCTTGTCTTGCTTTTTGTTTGTCATGGTGTGATTTCCTAGCGTGGAGCGAAACATTGCAGATGAAGGCAGAAGGGATGTTTGTGATGACTGAATAACTAAATGTTTACAGAATGATAGCATGCACACAGTCGGAAGAAAGCCAAACACAACCGCACCGATCACGCACACGTAGACAAGCAGAAGACGACAATCCTGTGTTGGAAACAACGTATCGAATTCCATTAGAAAGGGCCTGAAAGGCACTATGAACACACAAGAAGCGGGCTTGAAGCCCAGTTAAAAAAAGGACCCATGGGGAAAGGAAACCCCAGCGCATGCCTGCGTGTAGCGAACACTATCGGCGGACTTCTAAGAACAGCAGCAGACTACCAGGCCCAAAGATCGATTGCCACGTGTCGGCACCCTCAACCAATTTGCAGGGAATGCTGCTTTACCACCCCTGACGTCTTTATCGATAAGCGACAAACGAAAAGCTACCGACATGGAGAAGCACAGACTCCATCCGGGACTCTACGTGACAACACATGACCAAAACACACAAAACGCTCGGAATGGGATCCCTCTCCAATGGCCGCTCTCCCGCCCTCAAACTCACGTCCTCCACGTGTGTTGCGGGCCTGATGTCTACATCTTCCCGCGGCCCTCATCAACGAGCATTCATCCGCTTCGCTAGCGCGTCCCTTAGAATCAATGCATTCCCCATCGAAGTGTCCATGCACACGGGCGGCCCTTGGGACGTTGGATCCCGAGATCCACGCGACGCCGAACTCCGTTTGCGTCCACCTCCCAAAACAAATTGTCGTCGAAGAGGATGCAAACATCGATGAGAATGTTGTGTAAAATGCACACGGCGACAAACTGTTGCGGCAACGTCTTCATATTCGTCTTATGCGACCGTAGGAACAACCTCCACATGCCCTTCAGCCTCCCGAAAGCCCTCTCCACTGCCCCCTTGGCAGTCTTCTGTCTGTTGTCGAACCGCAACTTGGACGAGCGCTAAGAGGTGCCGCCATAGGGAACGACTAGCCATTCCGACCGCCGGTACCCATTGTCGCCCAGTAGATAGCCACTCGTCTGCACATGGAAGGGGAGCATAACGGGCGGCCTCGTGAACAGGTCCCAGGCCTCCGCGCGCGCCCATAGACTAGAGAGGTGAATGGCCCTGACGTCGTGATAGCTTCCCTGATATCCAACAAAAACGTCCAGCACACATAAGTCGAGATCGACGATGACCTGCGCGGTGATTGAGAAACGCCGTTTCCTGTCGAAGTAGTCTTCACTAGGTGCGTTCGCCGGATTGTCGATGTAGATATTCGTGCTGTCGATACAACAGTGGCTGTTGGGGAACCTCTTGTCAGCGAAAGCACGAAGAACGACTGCCTTCTGCATCCCTGTCGACCACCATAACTTCTCCCGGTACACCGTCAGCAACACTGCAGTTACGTCCCGCACTGCCACCAAACCAGAAGCTCTGCCAATGCCGAAGCTGCACGTGTTGCTCTCGTACGTCTCCCCGGACGCCCATTTCTACAATGCATACGCGACGATGTGGTCTGGCTGCAACGAATCCCTGTAGAACGTTACACGGCGCTGCAGAAAAGGCGACAAACTCTCCATAATCTCACGGAAGACAAGTGGCGACATACGTAGCTTCTCACGGAAGTAGTCTTCCGTGGCATCGTCGGCATGGCGCAGATCCTCCCACGTCCCCTCCGTCCTCATTTTCATCCACCACCTGGGCATGGCTCTAGGCAGAACGCCACAAGGCCCACAACCCATGGTGCAACACACTTGGAATACGGTGTCGCAGATGGCAGCGGAGTCCAACCCTTTCGCCGCCAACGACTGCATCGCCTTCCTCCTCCGTGCGTGACGCTGCACGTTCATTCTTCCCGCAGTGCTCTCCATCTAGCAGCGCAGAAGAACAACGGTAACGGTTGGGGCAACCGCTGTCCTTTCCACCGTCAACAGCTTCACACGCTCGTCATCACCGACATTCCCCATCGCCACACAGGGTGTAGAAGACATCGCCTTTACCTCGGGCAACAAACTTTGGCGACATGACAACACACGACCGAAACGCAACTCATGACGACCACGGGGTTTGCGCGACGAAGGACGCTGTGACAGCTCGCAGGACGCTATCTGCTTGTCCGCGCGCAGTGATGTGAGGACGACTGCAGTGATGTCGTCGTCTTCACTGTTCCCCTCTTAACGGTGATGGCCGAATGGTTGTCCAGACGCCGACCCTGCCACCACGCAGTCGAAGGATGTGCTTCCCTCTTGACGTCGTCCACCGCTCGCCCCAACCCCCAATTGATATGCCTGCGCCTTGCCGGTCTCTTTCGGAATTCAAATTTCGAAAAGGGAGACCCGCGCGCGTGTGTGCCTTTTTTTCCGACCTCGCCGCATATTTTGAATTTTCCAGCCGCCCGGAGGCGGACCACTCCAGACCACCCGGACATCAAATCGTGGACCACCGCCCACAGCCCCGACCCGCGGCCGCGTATTTTATTTTGAACATCCCCGTGGTCCGTCCTTGGAGCGTCCTCGGGCGATCGTCCCAAGGACGAGTGCAACGAAGGTGGGAAATTCCTCGGGCGATCTAAAGGAAAACTCCTCGGGCCCCAAGGACGCCCCGAGGAGTGTCTAACGAGCCCCTGTGTATGGCACGGGCCACAAATAAAATCATGTAGCTATAGAACACATACGTAAGGGTGGACACAGTTGCCTACAAATTGTTCGATGAAGCATTCACGAAAGGTTAAGCGGTAGTGGGCACGTCATATGGAAGAGGCTTGGACCCTGGGTAGAGGCCCATGGAGAGGGCAGATCGACACAGAGGGAGACACAATTATCACGTACCTAGCGCCGACGGTGGAACTGAGGGACTGGCTGATAAATGAAAGGCGGGTAGAGGAGTTGTATGTCGCCGAAACACAAGGCAAAGTGATATTCCAACCGAACAAGACACCGGCAAAGATGTTTGTGGCGAGAATGGCTGGACGAAAATGGTGGCCATGGTTGAAAGTATATAAGACCTGCCAAGTGGAGGGAGCAGTGGAATTCTTCTTCGGCCTGATAGTCGCAGAACACATGGTTGACAATGAGGAACGAGAATGAGTGAGATACGTCATCGATGGCCCGTTGAAGAACCCGCTGAAAAACAGTGTGGTGGTGGCCACAAGACCATACAACTTCGAAGAAGTTTGGTGCATCACAAGCGAAACCCCTTTCAGCGAAGTCTGCTTCACGCATGGTCATATGCGGCTGCATGGCAGATGTCTGGCGCTAGCGGAAACTATACAGGAATTGTGTGATAGGGAAATTAGATGCTGGCATTTTTCTCACAAAATATTTGAATGTAGATCAGACCCTGTTGCATTGTAAGGGATGCTAGACCCGATTTCCAGTAGGTGAAGCTCCCCACCAATAGGTTGGAGGTAACAGCAAGTGTTGCTAGGGGTGTTTGCTCATACCAGCACACCTAGCAAACCTGCGGGCGGCTTACAAAAAAAAAAAGTAAAAAAAAAGTGCTATAGATCCCATACTGCAGTCAGACCCGAAAGAGGAAAGGAGGGCCTGGTTCGAGTTGGAGCTGCAATGAGATGGAACCCTATTGGAGGAGATGAGGGCAATGACACGGCCGCAAGGGGAGCCAGCAGGATCGGCTGGCCCAAGCCAAGAAGATTGGCGAGACGGGGAGAGGGATACTGTTACAATGTCTCATGGGAGGACAGGGACAATGATCCCATGCAAACAGATGAGCCCTAATGGTTATCGGGGACAACTGGAAAAGGAAAGCAGAGCAATTTTAAGAAGACGGAAGAGAGTCTAAGATGACGGGTACGAATCAACCAGGGGCCGTTAGGGGGTTACCGGGGGAGACAGAGGGGATACAGGGGGGGAAAGTGCAAAGCAAAAAGTGACTGAGGAAGGGTTAGCTGGTGCAGGGGGTATGGTTGAACAACATCAACCGTTTGATGGAGAGAAGGCGAGTGACAAAAGGGGGGAGCATTGTCGGCAGGAGGGGGGACAGGAAGAAGTAAGAAGGTAAGATGGTCAGCAAGGGAGGGACGAGGAGAGCGGCCGACAACATGGAATATAGGGAGAAGTGAGTAGGGAGGGTCAAATAGCAGGGGAGGAAGAGGGAGAGATTAGGTGTGGGGTGGAGAGAACGGTGGATTTGGGGAGTAGTTTGGGGCTGGAGGCGAAGGAGGATGAAGGGGAGGAGGGAGCAGGACGGGAGCCCGGGCGGCAAGGGTCTAGGGCGCTCGGGGGGACATAATCGAAAACAGGGCTGAGGTCCGAGGGAGGGAGGGGGAGGATAGTACCGACCCCAAATCGACAGAAGGAGGAAATGAAGGTGCACAGGGGCTCGGGGAGGAAGGAGATAAGGAGAATGCATCTGAGGGAAGAGAAGCGGTCAGGGGAGTGGGGGATGAAGTGCAATTCTTAGAGGGGATCGGGGCGGAGGGGACGGGAGGGGAAGGGTCTGCCCAGGAAGGGGAGCAAGACCGCTCGGGCAAGTCGGCCCTGGCAAGGCCACCAGATAGGTTAGTATATCAAATGCCAATTGTGGCGGTGTCGAGCGCATCGGTCCCGCAAGGGGATTTTCCCGACCGCGTCACGTAGAATTTTGTACGACTTTTTCGCAAGGGAGTTTTCGCCTCCGGCGGAGTGCGTCGGTTGTATCTCTTGCGAACCCCTACGACAGGATAGAGGTCGCACGAGGAACAACTTACCTCTGCCCAAGGGGTTGTCACCACCTTTGGACAACCATATCCCCGCTGAGCTACCGAACCACGTGTGAAAGGTGTTCGAGTGCAATCGCAGAGGTGGTCCAGCCGAGGGCGTTTCTCGTTCACCGTAGCCTAGGGGGTACACGCGGCCGAACACCTTAATTGGGTCTGTACGCGAACTGACGCTCTGAGGGTTGATCTCTTAACCGTCGCTCTGCGCTGGTCGACTAGGACGATCCATCTAGCACACGATGCACTCCACAAAATAAACTAGACTTCGCACGTAAATTCTTCCTAGTCCCTTTTTCACATCTGACCCATAACCTTTTAACCACAGAAATAGACGGGCATCGCGCGCGAGACTCTTAATAAATATCATGGCGTAGGCCTTGTCATATCGACTAGCCGTGTATGAATACGCTAGCAGTCGCAATGATGGCGTACTATGTGGTACTCATAACCACACGGTACTCGCTGATTTCGAGGATCGCTTCTGACACTCAAATATTGACTGACACACGTCTTGAAAGGTTAATTTCTTTCTGTTAGACAATCACGATTGCGATTGCAAGACCTACCTTCTTCAATACCTTGCACGAGTGTACGCGGGCTTCGACCATTTTTGTGACGACAGGACACCCCTGACCTTATTGACGAGGCTTCATCTTCGGAGGTCACCGGACAGGTAAAGGAGTTTGACTTTGACAGTCGCCATGGACCTCAATGTTCAAAATCTAAAAAACAAAAATAAAAGGGGATATCCCTTTTCTCTCGATACGAATCTGCTCAATTCTTACGCACGGTCGAAGTTGATCGCTCAGTTACATAGGATATATATACAACAGGGTTATAGGACACGAGGCGATCACTCTCACAATCACAATGTGATTCCTTTCAAGATATACACATGATCGCAAACAAAGTCAAATTCGAACTTCAACTCACAAAACATACCTGCAATCAAACCAACGGTTCAACATTGACAGACCACACTCTACACAGGATCAACTTCAATCAATCTCTGCACTCATACCCCTTGCCTTATTCACACAAAACCCAACCTTTATCTAACCTTCCAAAATAAAGCACGCATTCTTTTTTAAATGGTCATTCAATACAAGTTTAGGTAAGAACCCAAATAAATAATTCAACCTACAAGGGCTAAGCCCTTAGGTTAAGCTGCAAGATTGAGTTGGGGTTGAATCGTAAACCAACCTGTTATAAAAAAATAACATAAGATGATTCTCGCAGGAGAAGACTGAACTTAGTCAATATTGAATCGAACTAGTGAAATAGGGCATGTAACACAACACATGTCAGTTTCCAAAGCTAGCTTTAAGTGTAAAGAGAATAAACTCTCATACCACATCTCACTCAAAACTTCTCACAAAACTAAGTTTAAATTTATCTCTAAATGATATAAAAAGATTAGAGAAAACTTCAGCAGCATCTCCCCTGCTCATGGTGGATTGTCAAAGTTTTTCCTACCAAATATAATCGAGCTCCTTTAAACTAGAAAAATTTCGACAGCACTCCCTCTAGAGAATTTTTCATTTTTTACTTTGTACTCAACTAGATACAAGATCAAAGAACGAATTTTGACTTTACAGAGTCAAATTTTGCGTAACGCTATGATTTAGGCAACACTTTTTTTGAAAAAATATGTTTCTCAATTTTATATTAAGCCAGATGTGGGCTCAAAAATATAAATTCAACTCGGCTACGACAAAATTCAACTAAATCTTTAGATTTATAGAAATTATGGCAACACTCGTCCTAACCAAAACGTTTTTCAAAATTTGTACAAAGCTAGATATAGATTA